CAGTGGGCAGCGAGCTGGGCCCTCTGTGGGCGCGCTTGGGGGCCTGTGTGGGCAGCGCGGACTACGGATCCGTGGATCTGGCGCGTGGGCGCCGGATCCTTGAATCGGAAAAGGTGCCCCCGAAACATGAGGCCAGAATCGCCTGATTTGGCGCTGCTTTGTAATTATGGAAGCGCGACCCGTTGCTAATCCACGCGCCTTGATCATGTTTGTACTTCCTCGATCAAGGGCGGCGGACCGAGGAGTGCAGGAACGGAGCCCAAAATGGAGCCTCCAACAGCCCCCAAACTGCCAATCGCGGGCCCAAGAGGTGCAGCAAAGGCGCACGCTTCTTCACATTCCGTTTATTATACCCGCCGATAGCGACCGCCCGGGCATTGCCCCGACTTGGGCTCGGTTCCGGCACCCCGCACGGCACCCCGCACCAACCGACTCAGCTCGAGAGATCCTGCATGAAGGGGCAGGGTAGAAAGCTCCAGCCGTAACTCTGCACGTCGCCGTGGGTTCTTCCAGGCCCAAGGACGTCGGGGCCACCCCCCGTTTCGAACAAGCGCGGAAAGACTGGCACAGATCACAGACCCTCTCCGTCGTGCGTCGTGCTCAAACGGCCTTGGGCGGTGGTGGGGGCGGAGGGCACCGTTCCAATCGGCAATTCCTTTCGTCTCCCGACTCCGTACCGTGCTCTCAGTCCCGCCCGTGCCGCCCAGACGTCCGACGTCCAGATTTGTTCGTGCCGTGGGGCCCCAGAGCTCTCGACCCCTTCCCGAGGACTCTGTTTTGCATCCCGGGCCGTTTTTTTTTCTGACGACCCAGGGGCCCGAGAGGGGCCTCGGGAGGCTCAAGCTTTTTGGAACAGCTGGCCGCCTGTTTCTTCTATCGGACTCGGCCGCCCTCTCCTGCGGCTGCTGGCGCTGGTCGCCCACCTTCCAATACACTACGTTCCGATGCCTGAGGCCGCCTGCGCTCTCCCCGTGGTGAAGATTCTCTACGCGCGAGGACCCCCCCTCGCGTTCCGCCTCCGCGACCGCCCTCCTCTTTGCCGCTCGTCCGGTGTGTCTCTGCCCGCCGCGGCCCGCGGGCTGAGCGACCGCGTTGGCGTCCGCCTTCGCCGCTGACAACTGCTGTCCCCATCGTGACAAAAACGACGTCTGGGCTTGGAGGCGGCCAGGGGGTCTGCACTGCTTGGGGCCCGAGGCCCGAGCCAGTCTGTCCGGAAGGGGTAGGCAAAGGCCAATCTGCTGAAAATCGGCTCCTGGCTGGCTTACCCCGGATTCACTGTTGTACGGCCCCGGGGCCTGAAAACGGCCCCTGGAGGCCGAAAAGGCAAACCCAGAACCTGGGACCTGCCTGTCCTTCTGGCTGGCGAGAATCAAAACTGGGTCACCTCAGACCACCCGCCGGCTCCAAGTCTGGGCCCCCTCCCTCCTCACCTGCGCAGGCGAGGACCCAGACATGCGACGTCCTGATGTTTTATACGCGGTCCCCCGACATCTCGACCCCTTACCGGGCATCCCGAATCGTTTGTTGAAGGTCCGATAAAGCCGATAAAGGCGAAAAGCCTCCCGTCCTGATTTCTTCACGACGCGAGCATGTCCGGGGAGCATGCTCGGCCGGCTCGCTCGCGCTCCGCGGGGTCCTTACGGGCGTGCTTGTGGCTTCTGCCAGCACGCGCCACTCGGCCCGCGGGCTGTGCCGAGGGCTGGCGCGCCGCGTCGGTGAAACCGTGCAACGCGGTTCTGCAGAGCTGACATCGGCCTGCCCTGTACATTAGCTCTGGTCCGATTCAGCCGCATGATAGCGCAGGACAGCGCAGGGCCCAGCAAGAGCGAGGGCACGAGACGGCGAGAGAGGCTTCCCATTTGGAAGGCACCCGGCGCCCTTGCCCGAAGGACCTCGCAGCAAACCGTACAACGCGCAGCTGCGGGTTCGCAGTGCTGATAGTGCGACAGAAAGACATTTCTGCGGCAACTCATGGAGGCCTCCCTTACCATCTAGCTGGATCTCGCGAATCGGCGATCGTCGACGCTACATTGACGCTACATCGACGCTATTTCACCGATTCCCAGACGCTAGTCGACGCTAGCGCAAGCGGAATTGCGAGGGTATACAAGGCTCCTGCGAATTGCGACCGAAAGACATCGACATGACCTATCGGAGGTCCGAGCTGCGGGGACTCATTGGGTCCGAGCTGCGGGGACTTATTGGGTCGGCGCTGGGCCCCCCCACGCACACCCTAGGCGGCGCCTCGGGCGCCGCTGCTGGAAACGGTGTGCAGGGTGCCAGCGCCGACCCAAGAGATCCGCCCAGGCCATGCAGTTCTTCGGCCCTCGAAGCACGAAATCTCGCTGCACGGGCAGACGCTGGCACCGCTGTGGTCCAGACCTCTGGTGCCGTCTTCTCTTGTGTGGCTCTCTTCCAGTATCCCTTCCCAAGGATCGGTGTTTCGTCCCAGATCTGCCTTTTGCGGCCTCAGAGGCCGGAGAGCTACCCCCGGGAGGCGGAGCACCGCGCAAAACTCCCGCCTTGATCTTTTCTTCAGGGCGCAGGAGGCTCGGGGGCCTGGGGTGCGATGGCCCGCAGCGTGTGCAAGACGTCAACATGCCGAGAGAATGCACCGGAGTGACCACAAGGGGACCCCAGGCATGCGACGTCCTGCTTTTTTCAATACGCGGTCTCCCAATAGTCCCGACCCTTTTCCAAGGATCGTTTTTTCATCCCGAGTCGTGTTTTGACGGCCCCGGGGCCTAGCGAGGGCCCCCAGAGGCCGATAATGGCGAAACATCCCCCGTCCTGAATATTTTGCAAGATGCGAACACGTATGGGGCAGCAGGGCAAACAATGGCATTGGCATGATCTTGCGGAGGTCCGCGCGGATGATTTCTTGGGGTCTGGCGCTGGGGGCCCTCCTTCCCGCACCCCATCCTGTGGGACGGTGGTGGGGCGGCGCCGTCCATTCCGGGAGGGGAGCGGGGTCCAGCGCCGACCCCAGATACCCACGCGGATCTCCCGAAGTTTGTGCTTACGCATGTCCTGTTCTCCGATGACCACGAGGGGAGCAACAAACATCCCCAGCGGGGACGGTCTCGCGTCCGCGCATGTGCGCAAGACATTAATTAACGTGCCGGGAATGCGCATCGCGTTGACCACGCTGGTAGCAACAACGAACCCGCAGCGGTATGAGAAGAACCAACATAAACATGAAGTTTCGGAGCTCTGCACGGACTTCTTGGGTCGCCGCTGGACACCCCTCGCCACACACACACCCTTCCCCAGTGCGCGGAGCGTGCTGGGGGCGGCGCGAGAAGCTCTGCCAGAAGGTTCGGTGGAGGGGGAGCCGGCGTCGACTCGGCATTTCTGTGCGAGCCTCTGACAATATCTGCCTGCGTAGTTTCTTGTTCTCGCCTCTACTCCGACGTCGCACCTCTTTCATGAGACGTGGCCCCCGGGGGATCGTGACCCCTTCCCTGGGGCCGGTTGTTCAACCATATTCGATGTTTGACGGTCCCCAGGACCAGGAGACGGCCCCCAGGGAGTCAAAATGGCCGCCACGACTTCTTGAAACCCAGAACCTGCTGAGGGGGATCGACTCGATAAGTTGGATCTGCGATCGACATGAATCGGATCAGCGGCAATCGGCAGCCAAGTCGGGAGAAGTCGGATCGGCGGAAATCGGCAGGCGAGTGAGGCCTCCATTAAAAGAAGCAACGAACACCAAACCGGAATCCGAAATCGAATCGGATCGGAATCGGAATCGCAATCGATCGAAAGCAACTCGAATCGAATCGGATGTATTGAAAGGAGCCCCGAAAGCCCGCAGCGGGCACGGCCGCATGCTCGCGCGCTGGTCTGGGCGAAAAAGTCCCTCCTCGCGCCACTGCCCTCTGTGACCCAGGCCCCCGACGCCGTGTTTTTTCCACGTGGACCCCTAGAGGTCTCGACCCGTTTCCCAGGACCAGGCCTCTAAGACAAATCCAGGACGAGGATAACACCGGGTGAGGACAGATCGAGAATCTCTGAGATCTAGCGGCTCTGGACAATGTCTCGGGCGCCGCGGCCTTTTCAGAGCGTCCCGGAACGCTCTGAGAGCGTTCCGGAACGAACGGATTTATCTTTGTCCCAGCCCGCCCGACGTTGCCCGGAACCCGATTTTCATCCTGGTTCGTTCTTTGACGGCCCTGGGGCCTGGCGAGGGCCCCCAGGCCCAGATCATTGGATACTAGATCGTTTCGGTCGCGATCGGTAGTGACCGATCGGCACTCCAAATCGGTCGCGACCGATCGCGACGGATTCCAAAATCGGTTGCGACCGGTTTTGAAGCAACTCGGCCGCGGCCGATACCAGAATTGGAAACAAAAGCGGTAGCGACCGATCGCGTTGGTCGCGACCGAAAACAACATCCAATGATCAGGGAGGCCAAAAGTAGCAACACTCTTCCCGCCGTGATTTTTTCACGAAGCGAGGGGGTCTGGGCTCCGTGATCTCGGAGCCTCCTCGGCGCCGCCTGAATTCACACTGGACTCGCCGAGCTTGCCGCGGCTGGCGCGATCGCCGCGGATGGCGCCGACGCCTCCGAGCCCAGGGCTCCAGTCGCGCCCGCCGAGATGGCGGCGGACGGCGTAATCACAGCGGCTGGCGGCGATGATCATGAACCCAGGACAGCCGACGTCTCGAGCAAATCATTGTAGGGTGTTGCCCAAAGTGTCCCTGGCCCAAAGTGTCCCCAAGATTTCCTGGGATACCCGGAGGCCCCTCAGGGCACCATGTACGTGGCCCAGAGGGCCCTAGGAGCTCCGCAGTGGCATGAAAAGCCGGAGACCCCTTGCCAAGGGGTATCCGGAGATGGTGGTCCTGCCCAAATGGCGCAGGACCACCTTTCAGAATCTCCGAGTCCAGGCTGAACTTTTCTCAGCTTTCTGTCTCCATGGGCCGTTTCCAAATCCTGCGGCCGCCCAGAAAACGATCGGGGACAAGAGAGACCCATCCCCGGGAAAGGGTCGAGATCATGAAATCGGAGGTCCGGGTCCTTCTGCATTCAGCTTCCTCATGGCCGACGTGACCACAGTGGACGCGGGGGTCCATGTCGGACCCAGCTCACGGCAACTCCACGGCGCGAAGTCCGTGTCGAACGGGTTCGGCTCGCCTGTCACGCACGCGTGCATGCACCTCGCCGTCTGGTTATCCTTCTCAAAGCATTGCGCCCCCGCATCTCTGCAGCATTTCGTCTTCGTGCAATTCTCATTGATCCGCGTGCACTCGCTCACCACCCAAGCAGCGGTGGTCGCCCGACTTACGGCGGCGGCCGCGACGCCAGGCGTGCGGAACCCGAGCTTCTCGCAGCTCCACGGGTCGCTGTTCACATCGTGCAGGTCGGGGCCTGGGCTGCAGGAGGCCTTGCAGCCGGAGTACCACTCGGACTTGCGGAAGCACTGCGTTCCGTTCTGGACGCAGCAACGACTGCTGGAGCAGTCCTCGCCGGGCTTCGAGCACACTGACGCCACCCAGGTGGCGAGCGCGAGCCATGCGGACTCGGGCTCGGGCGGCGTTGGGGGAGCCTCCCCCGGCGCCCTGTCGCCAAACTTCTGGCAACTCCAGGGTATCGGCCGCGGCTCGTAGAGGCTCGGGCCGGGCATGCACTCGGCCATGCAGGTGGCCTGCCCGCTGTGTTTGGCGTAGCACTGGTGGCCCGCATCTGCGCAGCACCTGGACTCGAGGCAGCTCGCCTGCGCCGAGGAACATCTCACGCACGTGTCCGACGAGTCGAAAGGCTTCACCAGCTCGGTGTCGTTCAGGGAGCGCTTCAGCAAGAAGCCCGCCTCGCCGACCAGCTCGATCCAGCCGCCCGCGTCGCGGCCCGACACGACCGTGCACTTCCACTTCCTGCCCAGCACGAGGGAGCTCAGGTTCGCGTGCGCCCTCACCTCCAGGGCGCCCTCGTGTACCACCACGAACTCGCGGGCCGCGGCGCCCTCCTGCGAGCGCCCGTGCGCCTCTCCGCCGGCTCTCCACCCGACCTCGGCGTGCTCACCCTCGGCCGGCGACCTGGCCAGCGGGCCGGCCGTGACCAGGTCCCTCGACCCCGCGGCCGCCCCGCCCGCCTGGGCGGCGCTGCCGCCGCCCCAGGACAGGTCCAGCGCCTCGCGCTCCCCGCCGCGCTGGCCCAGGCCGAAGCGCGACCTCCTCGCCTCCCAATCCAGCGCGCCACCGCCGCTTCCTGCGCCGCCCCGCTCGCCCAGTCCGACCAAGGCCTCGCCCGCAGAGGGCCGCCTACGCGGTGCCGCCGGGCGCCACGAGGCCCAGGCCGCGAGGCCGCCGAGCGCCACCGCGGCCGCCACCAGCCCGGGCAGCGGCGGCCGGCCGTGGCGGGCGCGTGGGCAGCGGGTCCCGTCCGCGGCGGCGCCGCTGTCCTCGGGGTCGTCGTCGCTCGCGCAAGGCTCCTCGCTCGGGCCACCCGGCCGGCGCGTGGCGGCGGCGAGCAGCGTCCTTCGGCTACACGTAAGAGAGTGACCCTGGGCAAGAGTGGCCTCTGGTGAACATTTGCCCGCCCGTTGCGTACTGTGCTACGGTAACGGCCTGCGTGTTTGGGCTTGGCCCCACAACGCCCCCCGAAAGCCGCGCACCAATGATCACTCTGGTGAAATATCACTCTCACGGGCAGCCGAGTCCTGGACTCCTCCTCGGCACCGTCTGGTGCCTCTGCCGCTTCGGAGGCAGTCGCCCGCCACTGCCAGCTGTCGCTGTCGACGCCCCAGGGCAGCTGGGGCATCCCTGGGGCCTGGCTGGCTGCGGGTGCCAGGCGCTGCGGACAGCTTGGGCCAAATGCGTTGCAAGAGGGCCACGCTGATGATGGTGGTCATGGTGATGGTGATGGTGATGGTATTAATGAACATCCGCCGCTCTGCGGTTGATCGGGAGTTTCTGTATATATAGAAAAAGGGGCGCGCGCTTCTGGGCGAGAGGGAAACGACCGAGAGAAAAAGGGGCGGCCGCCCCACAGGACCTCTCCATGGTGCCGGAAGCCCATCAGGGCTCCCTCAGGGCCCCTCCCCCAGGGCCGGGGCTCCCTCTCCTGCCCCCTCCCCCTCCTCCTCCTCCTCCTCCTCCTCCTCCTCCTCCTCCTCCTCCTCCGCCCCCGTCGGCATATCCAGGCGTGTTATGCCGTCAGGTCGTCCGTCCGGAAACGGTGCCGGAGGCCGCTCCGGGCTCCTCTGGGCATCCCCCCCGGGGTCCGTTTTGTGATGATGTCTCAGGCGAGGGCGCCGGTTTGGGATTCGTCGGCGGATCCACCGGATCCAGCGGATCCGTCCGGAAACGGTGCTGGAGGCCGCTCTGGGCTCCTCTGGGCATCTCCCCCGGGGCCCGTTTTGTGAGGATGTCTCAGGCGAGGGCGCCGGTTTGGGATTCGTCGGCGGATCCAGCGGATCCGTCCGGAAACGGTGCTGGAGGCCGCTCTGGGCTCCTCTGGGCATCCCCCCCGGGGCCCGTTTTGTGAGGATGTCTCAGGCGAGGGCGCCGGTTTGGGATTCGTCACCGGATCCAGCGGATCCAGCGGATCCGTCCGGAAACGGTGCCGGAGGCCGCTCTGGGCTCCTTGGGCATCCCCCCCGGGGCCCGTTTTGTGAGGATGTCTCAGGCGAGGGCGCCGGTTTGGGATTCGTCACCGGATCCAGCGGATCCAGCGGATCCGTCCGGAAACGGTGCCGGAGGCCGCTCTGGGCTCCTCTGGGCATCCCCCCCGGGGCCCGTTTTGTGAGGATGTCTCAGGCGAGGGCGCCGGTTTGGGATTCGTCACCGGATCCAGCGGATCCAGCGGATCCGTCCGGAAACGGTGCCGGAGGCCGCTCTGGGCTCCTCTGGGCATCCCCCCCGGGGCCCGTTTTGTGAGGATGTCTCAGGCGAGGGCGCCGGTTTGGGATTCGTCGGCGGATCCAGCGGATCCGTCCGGAAACGGTGCCGGAGGCCGCTCTGGGCTCCTCTGGGCATCCCCCCCGGGGCCCGTTTTGTGAGGATGTCTCAGGCGAGGGCGCCGGTTTGGGATTCGTCGCCGGATCCAGCGGATCCGTCCGGAAACGGTGCCGGAGGCCGCTCTGGGCTCCTCATTTGGTGATGGCGTTGACATATGTTACATGCTGCATGTATGTTACTTCTTCTTACTTATATCTAGCATCTTCATCAAAACTCGTTTACTTATATCTTACTTATATGTAACTTATATCTAATTTATAAGTCGGATAAGTCTGCTTTTTCGTATGGAAAATGGGGGGGCGGGGGCGCTTTCAAAAACGCGTCGGCGTCGCCGTCGATCCGTGCAGCCTGCGGGGCCCCGCTCCCGCCCCCCTCCTCTCCGCCCCTCCTTTTCCCCAGGCGGGATGCCGCCAGGCGGGCTACCGCCGCGCGAACGTGATTTTTTACAACAGGCGGCCCACCGCCAGGCGGTGCACCGCCGCGCGCGCGCGTTTTACACCAGCGCGCGGACCGACCCGTCCTCGGCTCGGCGGGTGTACGCCGCAGGCGCCCGCGGGGCGTCCTCAGCAGCCAGCGCGCCGCATCCTATGGGGCGGCGGCGTAGTGGGCCATCCCATCCTCCTCGTCCCCCTCCTCCTCCTCCTCCTCCTCCTCCTCTCCTTCCTCGTCCCCCTCCTCCTCCCCTCCTCCTCGTCCCCCTGTTCCTCCTCCTCCCCCTCCCTCCCCTCCTCCCCCTCCCTCCTCCTTGCACAGCTCGGTCCTCCTCGTGGCCGCCACGCGGACTCCCCAGGCGCAGGCCGCGACGCCAGGTCCAGCGGCTCCACGATGAGGTAGGAGCGCCCCGCGGCCACCGCCACGCAGTGGACGTGGAACGCGGCGTCGCCCTCGAGCCACGCGTCCCCGCTGCCGTAGACGAGGCCGCCGACGGCAGCTCGACGACAAGTGATTGCGCCGTGCCTGGATATCCCCTGGTGCACGTGCGAGCCTCGGCGTTGCCCCGAGAGGCGCCCCCGCAGGCGCGCCCCCCATGGAGGCTCGCGCGTGCACCAAAGCCCATTTGGCCCCAACCGCGCTGCCCGATGATCCCGTCAAGCTCAGGGGTCGGCCACCATTTGTGCGACTGGCGCGGCGCGGCCGAGGACTCGTGCAAGTACGTAGCCACAACTTGGGTGATCACATCCTTGTCCATGCCGCCCAAGCGGTCGTAGTGCTCCGCGGTGTCCTTGATGAGCTTGTGTTTTCGCTCGAGCACGAAACAGTCGAGCATCAACCCATCCTCCGCCGCCTGCACAGCTGCGTGCCAAAGATAATAATGCTTAGGCACGATCCACGCGTCCGTGTAGGCCCGCACGTGTTTCCTGAGCGCCAACCCGACATGGCGCTTGAAATCAACATCGAACGTGTCTGGGCAGCCGCCGCGTTTCGCCGCCAGGTACAGTTCCAGGACGGCATACATGGCCTCAAAGGACCGCGCCTGGGGCAGGAACGGCGCGTGATGCGGCAAGAAATCCACGTGCAGCCAGTTCCTGAGGAACGGCAGGACGGCGAGGCAGTCCGACGCGGAGCCGACGAAATGCCCTGCCTCGACGCAGGCTTTCTTCCTGGCAGGGGAGAAGAGATGCACGGGAGCTTTCCCTCCGCCGCGGCCTGGAGCCCAGCGCTGGAAATCGGTTCGCCACCGATCCCACGCGTCTGGAATCACGCGCGCCACTGCTTTGTGCAGGCAGAACACCTCCACCTGGAACGTGCCTCCGCTCGCCAGGATGATGTGCATCGGGTCGCGCGTGTACATGTCCAGCGAGCAAACGCGTCGGAGTTCGACGTCGGCCATCAACGAGAACTCGTTCACTGTGATGCCGTACGCGGATTGGAGATTCTGGAAGGCCACTGCACTCGCCGCGCGTTGAAGTTCCACGAGTTCGTCGTACCCCTTCGCGAACTCCTTGGCGGGAGCCGGCCGAGCGAACTCCGCTCGCGAATTCCAAGGAGTTCGCGAAGTCCGTTCGTGAACTCTCTGGACTCGCCGAGCGTCGGCCGCGCATTGCCCGCCCCCGACGCCTCCGCAGTCATCGGGTCGAACCTCGAGGCGTCGACGCAAGCGATACCCACCAGGTAACCAGACGGGTCCCAACGGCTGAGGGTGCCAGTCCCCTGGTCGAGCACGACGTTCTTGCAGTTGCAGCAGGGCCGCCAACCGCTGGAGCCCTTGTACGAGAAGGTGTCCTTGCCCGCGCTTTCGTCCATGATCAGCCTGTGGCACTTGAAATGCAACCGAGACGCGCCGACGTCGAAACCGCCGCCTCCTGGCCCGAGGAAGAGGCGCCGCAGGATGGCCCTCGCCACGCCCGCTGCGGTAATATCCTTCTTGTCCTCTGACCGAAGGACTCCCAGCGGGGGCCAGGCGCCCTCTTCTTGAAGGTATGTGCCCAGCTCCAAAAAACTAATGTACACAACAATGGACGTCCTGCGGTTTGCAGCTTTGAGCTGCGCGCCGACGACCACGTCGTCGTGGTAGAGCAGCATCCGCCACGGTTGCGATGGCGACGAAGGAAACACCCGCATCGCCGCCCAGAACCGATCACTCCAAGGCCCCGCCGCGTGGGCAAGCTTGGGGACGATCTTGTCGGGCAAACATACAGTCCACCTGAACGCTGGGCCACCGTCTCGGCGCGGCAATTCGATAACATCCAGAAGCGGCGCCACCGCGCGAGCCACGTCGGCGCCCACGGTCGCCGCCGCCACGTGCTCGTCGTCGTCCTGCAGCAGGACGCGAGCCACCCTGCGCGGGGAAGGCGGGTGGAGATCGGTTGGGCATTTTGAAAAGAAAAAGCCGACCAAACAAAACATCCTTCAAACACATTGCGCATTATGATTTTTGGATTCCGTGCACCTGTCCAGCGCCGCCCGCGATGCGCCCCGCAGAAGCGCTGCCTCCTGCAGCCTCTGACGCTTGCCAGGAGGCCATCGCTCGGCCATGGCGCCGCCCCCGCCTGGCGCGCCGCCGCGGGCGCAGAAGCGCTGCCTCCTGCAGCCTCTGACGCTTGGCAGGAGGCCATCGCTCGGCCATGGCGCCGCCCCCGCCTGGCGCGCCGCCGCGGGCGCCCTTCGAGCCGTTGAAGTAGGGTGGGTGAGGCGGTGGAAAAGGTTGACAACGGATGGCGGATGGGTGACGACGGATGACGGATGGCGGGGTACCGCCGACGACGGATGGCTGACAACAGGCGGTGTACCGCCAGAAGACTCCTGAGCATGGACAGGAAGCGGAGCACCGCCGACGACGGATGGCTGCACACGGGCGGTGCGCCGCCAGAAGAGCGCGGGGCATGGACAGGAGGCGGAGTACCGCCGTCGGCGGATGGCTGGCAACGGGCGGTGTACCGCCAGAAGAGTGCGGGGTGTGGACAGGAGGCAAACTACCGCCGTCGGCGGATGCTGCCCATGGGCGGTGCACCGCCAGAAATAAGAGGAGCATGGCTACAAGGACGCCGTGCACGAGGAAAGGGAGGCGGACCACGGAGGAATATAGTTTTTGTCTAAGCGAGGGAAGTCTGCGCGGGCGGGGGCAGACTTCCAGCGCGCCTCCAGCGCGCCCCAGCGCGCGTCGCAGCGGCTGGGGACTGAGCAGGGCAGCCGCCGCCGAGCTCAGTCCTTCGAGGTGTTCTTCTTGCTGTACTTCTTGGCCTGTAGAAGGATGATCGGGGCGCAAACGCGATCGATCGGCGGTCGAACGCGATCGATCGGCGGTCGATCGCGATCGAACGGCGCTCGATCGGCGGTCGATCGATCGATCGGCGGTCGACCGATCCGAACGCGATCGGTCGGCGGTCGATCGGCGAAATCCTCGATGGGTCGAGCGGTCGATCAGCAAAATCTTCGATCGATCGATCGGCAGTCGAGCGGTCGATCGGCGGAGCACCGCCATCCACGATGGATGAAAAGGCCGTTGAGCAGCTCGCGTGCTCGATGGCCGAACGCAGGCCACCGACAGCGGTCTTTGCGTCGGCGAGGGCTGCCTCCAGGGCCTTCGCCTCGTACGGCAAGCTCGCCCTGGGGTCCTCGAGCGCGGTCTTCGCGGCCTCTCCTTGTGGTTGTCCTTCGCGTTCTTCACCGCCCAGGTCGGCACCCTGGAGCAGCCCTCGTCGTCGAGGAGCGATGCGGGCTGCACGTCCCAGGACCCCGTCTTTTCCAGCGTCTTCATCGCCAACGCCTTGCGGTCCTTGATGGCCTTCTGGACACGCTTCTGCTCGCTGCGTTCCCTCCTGATGCGACTGCGCGAGTCCCTCCCTTTCTTGCCGTGGTCGTTGCGGCTCCTCGAGCGCTGCTTCTCGCGAGACTGGGAGCGACCCGTCTTGCGGCTGTCCTTCTTGCTGTGCGCCCTGCGGCTCCTCGAGCGGGCCTTGTCCTTCTTGCTGTGCGCCCTGCGGCTCCTCGAGCGGGCCTTCTCCTTCTTGCTGTGCGCCCTGCGGCTCCTCGAGCGGCGGCCCTTCGCGTCGGCTCTGCGGGAACCTCTGGAAGAGCGGTGCTTCTGGCGGCTGTCCGCCCTGCGGCCGCGGCTGCTGCGCTTGCGGCCGCGGCTGGGGAAGCGGTCCGTGCCGTCGCCGCTGCTGGAGTGGCCCCGCTTCAGCTGGCGGTTCTGCGAACAGTCGCTGTCGCCGCTCCGACTCGTCGAACGGCGACCAGCGCCTGTGGGGCCCTCGTAGCCACCGCTCGGCGAGCGGTGCGTCTTTTGCGGGAGTGGCTCCACGGCTCTCTCATGCTTCGGTGGGGATGGCCTCGGCGGCTTCCTGTTCTGGCGGAGCTCCTGCCTCACTGTCTCTTCGATGTTCTCCTGCCTGCTGCCCTCGATGCGGATGCGGTAACAATCCTGCTTCAAGTCGGAATTGTACCTCACGTCGTTGTTGGCACGGACGGCGTCCGCGTCGTACCCCTCCTGGGCCCAGACGGACAAGGGCTTCCAATCCCCGCCCTTGGTCTCCGTGAGGCGTTCCTTCCTCGAGACGCTGAGGACCCTCACCAGCTCCTCTTCGAACTGAGCGTTGTTCTCAATGGAAGGGTCGTCCATCGAGCGCCAGAACGCCTGCTGGTCCGCCTTGCGCATGAGAGCGAACGAGCGCGGTGGCCAGTGCGCATAGCAGCGCTGCACCATCGAACTCTTGCTGTTGCAGCTCCCACACCACCACGTGTTGGCGCTCTTCTGGGCGAGCCTGAAGCGGACGCTCTCCGCATCCCGACCGCACTTGGCGCACGTCGGGCCTGGACAGGGTGGGTCGTAGCCCGTCGTGAAGCGGCCGTAGTCATCTTTTGCTTCGTCCGTGGCGGCCTCGAACGTGTCTGAGGGCGCGGCCTGCGGCTCCTCTGCTGCCGCCTCTGCCTCCGTCGGCGCTGCATCCTGACGCTGCTGCTGTGGCTCTGCATCCTCCTCCGCTGCCGGCGGTGCTTGCGAGGCTGCAACCGACTTCTTGTCGTGCTGCGTCTGGGCCTGCTGCTGTGGCTCTGCCTCGTCCGCCCCTGCTGCTGCGTCCTCCGCCGTCGAAGGTGCCGCCGCTGCTGGCTTCTTCTTCGCTTTCTGTTTGGCCTTTGCCTTGGGCTCCGCGCTCGCCTTTGCCTTCGCAGGCGGTGCGCCGCCGCCCTTCTTCGCGGTCAAGAACTGAGAAAGCGAGCGCTGCGACGGGGGCTGCTTGGCGGGCGGCACGGCGGCGGGGCGCCTGAGGAGAGGCCGCCCCGCCTTCCCCGCCTTTGGTTTCGCAGCGGCCGCGACCTCCTCAGGCGCGCGCTGCGGGGGCTCCTGCGGAGTCGCAGGCGAGGAGGCCTTGGGCCAAGGCGGAGCTGCACTGGCCTCCGCCGAGGTGTCGCCTTCCTCGGCCTTCACAGAACCAAGCTCCTGCGGCCTCGAGCCTGCTTCCTGCGGCTCGTTATTGAACGAGTCTGCTGCCTGCGGCCTCGAGCCTTCTTCCTGCGAGCTGTCTTCGGACGGCGCGGGTGACTTGACGCCCTCGTGCAAGAAGGGGGGCGCGGGCGACTCCTCCTCGGCGGCCGCCATGGCCCGCGGCGCCGCGGCCCCCGCGGCCGCGCGCGCGGCCCCCGCGGCCGCGCGCCAGCACAAAACGGCTGTCGAGAACACGGCGCGAGGATGAAAGGGAACAAGGGGCAAGGCGGATGAGAGAGCAGGTTGGTTCTGGAGAAGTGGACAAGGCTGCGCAACACAGCCTACACAATTGGAACAACAGGCGGTGCGCCGCCGAAAACGCGCGGCGCGATGCGACAGCCGCGACAAGGAAAACAAATGATCGGCGTGGCGCTCACGAATATACATGCAAACAATGGGCGGTGCGCCGCCGACGACGAGGATCGATGGGCGGTGCGCCGCCGACGAACTTGTCTAACCATGCAATGGGCGGTGTGCCGCCGACAACGACGATCGAAGGGCGGTGCGCCGCCGACGAAATTGTGCAACCATACAATGCGCGCTGCGCCGCCGACAACGACGACCGATTGGCGGTGCACCGCCGACGAGATTGCCCAATCATAAATTGGGCGGTGCGCCGCCGACAAGTCCAACCGATGGGCGGTGCACCGCCGACGAAATTGTCTAATCATACAATGGGCGGTGCGCCGCCGACAACGACGATCCATGGGCGGTGCGCCGCCGACGAAATTGCGCAACCAGGCAATGGGCGGTGCACCGCCGACGGAAACGTCAAACAAAACAAAGGGCGGAGCACAGCGGACAAGTCCAACCGATGGGCGGTGCGCCGCCGACGACTACGTGGTGGTAAGGTTGTGATGCTGATGGTTGTGACGACGATGATGCTGGTGGTGACGATGATGGTGGTGGCGAGGTGCTGACGATGATTTCTGGTGATGGTGAGGTGGTGATGGCGAGGTGGCGATGGTGATGTGGTGGTGAAGGTGAGATGGCGAGGTGGCGATGGTGATGGTGATGGCGATTCCGAAGAATCGGAACGAGCTCGGCGCGGCTGCGCTGAGGGCTGCGTTCCTGCGCCGCGTATCGCGGCGTATCCTGGCGTATCCTGGCGTATCCTGGCGCATCCTGGCGCATCGCGCGACGGCGCGCCGCGATGCGCCAGGGTGCGCCAGGATACGCCGCGATGCGCCAGGATACGCCCGTATCGCGGCGTATCCTGGCGCATCCTGGCGTATCGCGCTCCGCGTCACCCCGCGATGCGCCAGGATGCGCCAGGATACGCCAGGATGCGGCAGGATACGGGCGTATCCTGGCGTATCCTGGCGTATCGCGGCGTATCTTGGCGTATCCTGGCGTATCGCGGCGCGCCGTCGCGCGATGCGCCGCGATGCGCCAGGACACGCCAGGATGCGCCAGGATACGCCAGGATACGCCGCGATACGCGGCGCAGGAAACCAGCCCTCATCGCAGCCGCGCCGAGATCGTTCCCTCTCCTCCTCCTCCTCCTCATTCTCTTTCCTCACCACTCCTCCTCCTGCTGCTCCTCCTCCTCCTCCCTCCTCCTCCGATGGTGGTGATCGGAATGATGATGGTGAGAATGATGATGAAAAGTGGTGGGGAAGGACTCCTCCCCCCCCCCTTCCTCCTCCTCCTCCTCCTCCTCCTCCTTCCCCTCCTCCTCTTCCTCGCCCTCTCCTCGCCACCACTCCTCCTCTTCCTTCTCCTCCTATGGGGGTGATCGGAATGATGAGGATGAGAATGGTAATGCTGCTCATGATGATGATGATGATGATGATGATGGTGATGTTGATGACGATGATGTTGATGATGATGATCGCAGTTTTCCAAGGAAGAATGGCGGACCCGCCAAAAATAAGAGTGCGCGCGCGGCCCGCGCGCGCGCGCGAGCGACCGCGCGGATGCGCCGAAGAGTTGCGGGGGTCAGAAGCCGACCGACAGCCTTTCCGCCCCACCCCGATTCCCATGCCCCTCCCCATGCCGCACCCCCCTTCCCATGCTCCTCTCCATGCCCCTTCCCTCCGCACCTCCCTCACCGTGCCCCTCCCCGATCTGTCAGTCGGCGTCGAACCCCCGCGGGGCCCAAGGCGGCCTACGCGGCCGATGCAAGGCCTGCGCGGGCG